GGCAATGAGATACATTGCTCTTTCAACCTTTTAACCCCCTATGGTGACTAGCATCTGAATTCTCCTTACAGTATCACTCCTGAATCAAACATCTAGGTCATGAGAATAGAGGAGATGATCACTAACCATAGAAGGTCTTGATTGTGAAACAAATTCTCCTTTTCAGCACGTTAGGAAATACATAGAGAACAGTTTGGAGAATATGCATACTGATGTTAGGGTATGAAGGGTCAATGGGTGCAGTAATTGAACTTTTGTAATTCTTTCAACAGAGGATGCAGAACAATGGATCTCTTTACATTCATGTTTATGTAACAAAGACTGGCAGGTCACCTGACCCTATGCATCCAAAATTCAACAAGCTCGCTGTTGTAAATAGAAGTTTGTGTAAGTATTAATGACTCTAAGAAAAAAATCACTGCAGAAGGCAGATTCTGGAATTTTGATTTCAGGAGGATCCAGACTTAAATCCAGAAAACACCAAATTTTGTTTTGTTATTATACTAGACCCTAGACAAGCAAACTAAGGAATATTTAAAGTTAAATAAATTTAAATACAAATTAGCCTGTAAAAAAATAAACACGTTGATTGGGGGAGGTTTTCCTCAACCCTTGCCCCCCCAGATCTGGATCCATCATTGCATGGGTATCAGAAGTGTCTTGTGTCAGGGGTCTTGTTCATATTGAAATACAACTTAAGAGGCAGACTTAACTTTAAATGGAAGCCTGCGTTATAAAGCAATTGGCTTTTAACAATACATTGGCTGTCGCAAACTGTAACTGTTTTTGATAGTATCAGTGTTACATCACACTCTTCCCTTGCCAACCAATGGCCTCATTGCTTTGCATGCATGAAGGTGTGTAACACAGCATTCAGAGCCACTAAATTTCCCACAATTTTCTCATGGAATATGCACCCAGTTCCCTTTCCCCCCCTGAGCCCTTGTTCTTAGCATTGTAAGCCCCTAACTTGCTGGACCTAACCACATTCTCTCTACATGACTGTGAACTCTCATTTTTTTCTTCTATTTCAGTATTGACTGTTTATAGAAAAAAGCGAGTTCATAAGACAGTAAACTTGTTAACTGGCGTGGCTGATGCTAATCCTGACATTGTGGTAAGCTGAGTATGTTTTAGCCAAAACACGGTTGTCATTAGAAGTTGGTAGGAGGCAGAAACCCACTGATTGTACAACTATTTTGTGAATTCTGATCAGAGACAGAAGAAATGTATCTTTGAACTGATTCTAATATCAATGTCTGGTTACCCAGGTTACTCAAAAATGTCCCAGAATGTTGGAAATCATGTCTGAGAGAGTTTCAAATTTCTAATTTTTTGTGGGGTAACATTCCCCTAAACCCCTTGCGCTCCCTGCTCAGTTCAATTCATATTTTACCACAATTGGCAGTAATGTTGTAATCTGATTGGCCAATTTGTCATCATCAATAAGAGTACAGACAAACCTGCTTGCATTAACATGTCACACAATGGTCAGGCCATGGAAGAATTGTTTTATTTAATGTCAATATTGTGGTAAAAAAACAAATTGACAGTGGTTTAGCATGGTCTTTATTCTTATCAATGGCAATATTGGTCAGCACAGTGGTCAAAATTTGTTGCCGACTCACTCAGCTGTGCCCTGTGAGTCCACAACGTTTCAACCACAGAGGTGACAAATATCTTTGTCAATAAGAGTACAGACCTTGCTAAACCGCTGTTTTGTTAAATATATTACATTTTCTAATGACAACCCTGAAAAATAAGGTAGCCATTATGTTTCAATGTATTCTTGGCTCAGTTTATGAACTCACTTCCAAACCTTCTCACAGCAAGCACCTGACAGTAAGATGCCTGTTGAAATCATTTCATACTGGCACCCAAACCTGACGATCAATCTAATGGATGACCAGACTCCTTGGGTGCAGGGCTCTGTGCCGCAGCCAATGGATGAATGTAAGTGTATACATAACAACATAGGGGCCAGTTGTTCAAAGGCTGATTAGCATTCACCCAAGGTTAAATTTTAATTTTATTTTTTTTATTAAGTTTATTCAAAAGCCTTTTTGAGATAATTTTCCCTATTTTTTTAGAGCATTTAATAATCAAATTCCAAACAAAAATTAGTATACTATATTTTTTTCTAAGGCTTTCAGTTGTCAAATCAGATTTCACACTAAAACTGAGTCATCTTAACCTAGCTTTGAACAACCCTGTCCAGAGCCTCTTGATATCCTAAAGTCACAAAATGGTCAGTTGAAGTAACATTCCAGCAACTATAAAAATATCCCAAAGCCTCCGATTACACCACCAATCTTTAAACATGCAATGTGATAGTATGATAACATTGCCAGCTGAATTATCTGACAAGGAGGGAAGAAGAGGCAGATTTTAACTGATAGAAATCATGGAACATTACATCTTGACCCCCAAGAGTGACTAATAACTAATTTCTCTTTACATCACCCTGAATAAAACATGAAATTCACGAGAGTAAAGGAAATGGTCACAAACTGAAAAAGCCTTTGGTTACTGAACTTATTCTCCTTGTCAGCACCTTTGGAAATGTGTAGTGAACAGTACGGCGAATAATTATACATACTGATGTTAGTGTGTAGAAGTTAGTGCAAGGAGAACGGTAAACATAAATGAAAAAAACAAAAACTTCTTCCCCAAAAAAAAAAATGACATCCAAAGGGTTAAGACCTGTAATGCCCTGTATTAAAAAAAGAGACAGCTTGCAATACAGTCGTGCCTGAGTTAAGCGGTCACCCACGGGGAATGGCGTTAGGGACCGGTTAATATAGGTTCCACAGGGGTAGACTTATACTTAGGGGTATTGTATAAAACGATACACAACACCAATTTATGCCATAATTGACCACTAGTTGTACATAATCTCGCTAAAAAATACTCAGGACTTGGGAGATAAACAAGGAGTTATAGCTGACTGATTCCTCTTTCGGTGATTGTTCAACACTGGTGGAAAACTAGAAAAACAAGCTGTTAGGAATTAGTAATGGGTGACCGCGACCACTTAATAGAGGTGAAAATTACATTGATTAAGGGGAAACACATTCGTGACTTTGACAACTGACCGCTTAATACAGGGGGACCGGTGCTGCATAATACAGGTTTGACTTTATTTGATAACCTAATTTTCTTCCATTTTCAGTTCTTGCCTTTGAAAACATAACAGGCAAATACTATCCTGTTCTGTATTTAAACAAGTACTGGAATCTGGCCAGTGACTACATGCCAATCAATGAAACCACAAAGTAAGTGTTTTAAATATTTCGTGGAAAGTTTGTGAATTTAAGCATGTTGTGACTATTTCTCGGCAGTCATATCGTATGGAGCAATTTCGATCGAGTGTCCAACGTAATCCGGGATTGCTGTGTTTGTGCTCTACTTTGCTCTATGATTGGTCCAGAAAACTTGCGTCACCCTCTCTCAACCAATCAGATGCAGAACTATTACCAATAATTGCTTGGTCGTCCGCGTTTTCCCGCGCTTTAGGCAGTTTGATTATTTTTATTGCGCGTTCTCATTGGCTCTCTGGGTATTTTCCTTGGGTATTTTCCTGGGTATTTTTCCTTTCCCGCACGTCTCGAGGACACAACGTCTTGCCCCGGCTAGGACTAGAACCCGGGTTGTCCGACTCGAAGCCCAGTGCACTGACCACTGGACTACTGGACAAAGCCGTGGCGTTAGCGTACCCGCGGTACAGTTGACCAAGCATGTTAAAAGTAGCACCTTGTACGGTCGTACATCCAAATTTTTTCGGCTTGATGGGTTGCTACTATTTTGTATAATTATGGGGCTACGCTCTGCGAGCTCCGCTATTATTTTGTGGTACCCTGTGAGTTCTGCCAACCCTAACTCTGCAGAGTTTAATGCAAGTTAGCTGTAATAACCAATCACATGGCTCGAAAAATCACAAACATGTATATCAAATACAATAAATTCTTTATGATGGATTTTGCTGTCCAAAGCAACTTACAACAAAGTTAATTTCACGCTCACCTTTTATACAGAGGAAAAAACCTGAGTGTTCGTAGATATGGAGTGTTTAACTCGATGTCTCATGAGTGAGCGCAGCGGACGAGTGAGATATCGAGTGGAATACGAAAGAGAAATTTCCTATCTGCACGCCATAGTACTACTTTGTTTATTACATAAATCCCGTTTGCCTTTCTTGCGAAAGGAAAGTGATGTGTCAGCAACTGATTGGCGATATCAATCATGTGAGAGGTTATCGTTATTTTACGCGTGTGCAGTTACGGCTTCTCTCAGGGCTGAAAAGCCTTATAAAACACCACAGTTCATGTAGTAAACAATATAGTTATTTTCATGCTCTTGCAAATTGGAAATGTGACGTTGACATGCATAAGTTTTTGGGAATCACTCAAACCGAAAAAAGTAACATGTTTTTTTGTTCTTTCGACAGAACCCTCGAGTTACACTTGACCTACAGTCCCATATCACTGTTCAGATGGCAAATGTACGAGTCTCAAAGAATGAGACAAAAATGGTTTTCAGTTTTAGGAGATGAACCAGAACAGACTGAGGAAGAGCAGGATTCTATTAAGGTGTGGTTTAGGTTGTAAAAAGTGTCTCGTTTATGTAGAACAACTTCACGCAAGTGTCTAAGGATATTCAGAATTGCTCTGGTTTTCGTTTACCTCGCTATGTGATTGTTCCGGAAAACTGACGCCACTTACTCAACCAATCAGTTTTAAGACTTGTTGCCCTTAGAGGAGTTTCCTTGTGTCTAATTTGCGTTTTCATTGGCTAGAACATATTTTACTTTGTTCTGATTGGCTGTTGTGATTACTATCAATTTGTTTTAGTTTTACGATACTCAATCGAAAAGCACTCTAGACAATTAGTAATTTTTTTATTATTAATTTTGCGTATTGATTTTGCGTATTGATTTTGCATATTTAATTTTGCGTATTAATTTTGCATATTTAATTTTGCGTATTAATTTTGCAAATTTAATTTTGCAAATTTAATTTTGCATATTTAATTTTGCACATCAATTTTGCATTTGAACACAGAGAGCTTTGGTGGAAACAAACCCATACCTACTTGGCATCACTATGATTGTTACATTGGTTCACACTGTCTTTGAATTTCTGGCTTTTAAGAATGGTGAGCAATTGTTTCCAGTTTTATCCTAAAATGTTGACCATAGTGGAACTAGAACAAACAATCCGTCTTGGAGAATTAGATTTGTTGGTGGGAAAGCCGTTTTTCAAGGTCATCTTTTCAGTGATTACGATCCAGAGCCAGCTGAATTTGAATGCAATCCCAGAGAAAGGACCAGCATGTTTTCCTCTGCTACTCCTCTTTGATAAGCCAACACATATTTGTAGAGAAGATTTTACCACAGCGGAACATAGTTATTAGATTTCTGTAGAATAAATATGGGAGACGTTTTGGCGTAACTGTTCGGTTGATGGCTAGGGTATTGTGTTATCTTACTAGACAAGACAATTAAATCTTAAAGTGCAGGAATTGTGCAGTTTTTAGAGCACTCGGCTTTCTTCTCCTTCCTTTCTCTCCATTAAATCTCTTCTTGATGCTTTCAGACATCCAATTCTGGCGAAGCCGGAAGACTTTAGAAGGCCTGTCTGTGCGTTCCGTGTTCTTCAATGTATTCCAGTCTGTGATTGTTCTCTTGTACGTTATGGACAATGAGACCAATACTGTTGTGATTATCAGCTGTTTTGTGGGACTTTTGATAGAAATTTGGAAAATCAACAAAGCCGTTGACGTTAAGGTAAGTGTTCCAGATTTAAAGGAATGTGCTGATATTGTCACAACGACTGTTCTCAATAAATGCGCTTATTTTCTCTGCCTATTTGCTTAAAGAGGAACACTTAAAGCAAAAAAAAAAAAGTCAGTTTCACCGTACCATCTGGTGATCCGATAGCCTGGGCTTGGTCACTGAGTTGTGTTCCTAGGCAACGAGTAAAGACACCAACGAGTAGGAATAGGTACCGGCCGACAGTCGTCTTAATTATATAGAGCTTTTGAGATAGCTAATGGTGCAATTTACAGTTGTGTGCTTGGTTGCCAGGCCTTTGAACAGGAGTGAGGCTAATGGTAACCCTGTTATGATACAAACCTTACTGCTTTTCAAATGTAAATTACTTTGTTATCATGCCAACCAGATACTGGTCTCCATCACATCATGGTCACCTTCAGCCTCACTCCAAATCAAAGGCTTGGCAACTAAGTACACAACCGTAAAATGGCCTATTGATTGAAGGGAGTTGTTTGTCTCCTTTGATAACTGATATACTTTGATTTTTAGGTGGATAGAGAAAATCCTTGGTTTGGTGTTATACCAAGAATTCGCTTTGATGACAAAGAAACGTACGTGGAGTCGGAAACAAAACAGTACGACATGGTAAGGGGGCTCTCTCATTTCATTTTTCAGTTGAAACGAGAAGAATAAATGCATACTGGTGAGGTCTTGTTGTTCCCTTGAAAGTTAAATCCATCGTCAGGCTAAAACAGATCAAGGAAGCTTGCTAAGGAAACGGGATAAGCCTCGTCAAACAAACTACTAAAACATACTAAGATGTTGTTCTTTTAAAAAGCCTCCACAGTAATTTGAATGTCTGAACTATTGTGGAGCTGATCTAATAGTTTTGTTTCCCATACTTGCTTCTCAGATGGCGTTCAAGTATTTGTCGTGGGCGCTATTTCCGTTGTTGGTCTGTTACGCAGTATATTCACTGTTATTCGTTGAACACAAGGGTTGGTATTCCTGGGTCCTCAGCATGCTTTATGGCTTCCTTCTGACCTTTGGTAAGTGTTTTCCTTTTGGTAAAGAAGCTTTAGCCTGTTCCTGGCGTTCAGTTGGTTTAAAATAGCGCACTAGTAGAACGGCGGGATAACAGCGGCGAAGCAAATTAAGGAGGGAAGCTTGGGTCTGGTCTCGTGACGAATAACCGGCCCAACTTCCCTCCTTTTTTCAACCCGACCCAGACTACCTTTCGTTTTTTCTTGCCGTTGCTTCCATCGTGACTTTTGTCAGAACGCTTTGTTGTAGGAAGTGTACGCTTAGCACAGGCCAAGCAACATAGGTAATGTTCATCACAAATAGGTCACTTCTTTTTTAGACTAAAACCAACATGAACTCATTGGCCTTTGAAAACAAAAAGGAAGTTAAGAAAAGTATCACAAGAAAAAAGTTAGAACTAAGAGATTTTAATTCCTTCAAACATGGCAGATCTTCAAGTGCGCGGGTATACACCAATGATCAAGTTGCAATTGCTGTTAGATCTGTCTGATTGATTATGATAATGGCGCAAGCTTTTTACACCAACAACTCAGCGAAGGAAAGCAAAACCAATGCTTAGCACTTTCCATATTTGATTTTAGACCGTTTTAACTGAGCGTCCTCTTTGTGCAACTTTGGAGACGAGGTTTCTGTTATGAAACAAAAGTTAAATCCTACCTTGTAGACATCATTTAAAAGTTATCAGTTTGAGATTTTTGCCAATAAATTTAACTTTTTAACCTCTAAGATTGATAAGCATTTAAGTTCTCTCATCAGTGTCACCTTTAAATCAAACATTAAGGTCATGAGAATAAAGGAAATCATCGCGAACTTAAGAGGCTCATGATTATTAGACAAATTCTCCTTCTAAGAACCATAGGAAATGTATAGTGAACGGTATGGAGAACCTGCATACTGATGTTGGGGTGTAAAGTGTTCATTGTGTACCCTTGTTGAATATCTCCTCAGGATTCATTATGATGACTCCGCAGCTGTTTATCAATTATAAGCTAAAATCTGTGGCTCACCTTCCCTGGCGCATGATGACGTACAAGGCTCTGAACACCTTTATCGATGATCTTTTCGCTTTTGTCATCAAAATGCCAACTTTATACCGCTTGGGATGCTTCAGAGATGGTAAGTTATTTTCAAGGTGAACTGAACTAAGAAGACCTTTTTTTGTAGCAGTGAAAACTCGAGACACGTTCTCTGATAAGCATACGATCATGTTAGTCCTATTTATCAAATAAACTGCGGTGTTTTACAAGGATTTCCAGCCTTGAGAAAATCCATAACAGCACCTGTGTAAAATTAAAATAATTTTTTACGCGTGTTTGATATCGCCAATCAGCTGATGACACAGCACTCGCCTTTCGCGCCGCTCCGGCAGGTCGATGAATGAAGAGCAAAATGTTCACCATTCTAAATCTAAGGCCGTCTGTCGAATTTCCTTGTCAGAAAAGGACTATTGTGTTTATATTAGTAAACAAAATATTACATGGTTGCCTACAGATATGTAATCTCTCTTGTTGTGTTGAAAACTCGAAGAGCAATTGCGCACATGTATTTTTCTCGAATTAATTGTCAATGAAGTTGAACTCAGCTTTATTTGTTATGTTTCCATCACAGATATTGTTTTCTTCATCTACTTGTACCAGCGATGGATCTATCCCATCGACCCGAAACGTGTTAATGAATTTGGCCTAACTGGTGAACCTGTGGATAACACTGACACAGCAGATCCAAATGAAGCAAAACCTTCTGAAGATGGCGCTGTAACAACTGGTGCTGAAGTCGTGTCAGATAAAAAGAATGATTAATTCCGTGAACTGTATGCAATTTTAAGTAAAATGCGGAGTTATTTAAACTTCAAATTCAACCATTTTGCTGTAGAAGCGTTCACCTATTGTATGGAAATATTATTTATGTTCCATTACAGTGTTGACGATTTCCGTGTTCTTCAATGTTTCATGTATTTATCCAATGCAGTGACGTACCAAAAAATTTAAACTCTAGCATGATCGTTGACATTGTTTGTATGGGATGCAAATAGCACTACGCGTCTTGACCCTTGAACGCTTAAGAGTGACTGGCATCTGATTTCTCCCCACCATATCAGCCCTGAATCAAACATACGGTCAACGAGAATAAAGGAAATGATCACCTACTAAAAAAGCTCTTGATTTTTAAACAAATTCTCCTTGTCAGCAACTTAGGAAACGTGTAGAGAACAGTATGGAGACTATGCATACTGATGTTAGGGTGAAAAGGTTAAAGAGGAGTTTTTTAGCAGAGTGTCGAAAGGAATCCGGGTTTGCACTGATGTTAATTCCCTTCTCTTTGGGGATCACATGGTTTTTCAGGGGGAGCAATGGGGGATTGGCCGTCGCCAACAGAGTGTAAATGAGGGGCTATAGAAAATCGGCGGCTTATCAACCGCCAGTGAGTGGCAAACGGGATTGTAAGAATATGGGAAAGTCTTATGGGGGAAGGATTAGGTAAGTTTGCTCAAAATACCAAAATACTTCCACCCTACCCCCTCCCTCCCCAAATTAGGTGATGAATAATAGGTTGTCTTTACTTTGGATATTCATGGCCTTCTTTTGATTCAGTGTAAATCTCTTTATTAGTCGACCGTTACGATGACTTTAATTTTGGTGTAATGGAACGATGTGCGATCTACTATGATTTTTGAAAAAAATCGAGTCGCCTGATTCAGTTACTAAGTTTAAACTGATCCACGTTGCAACTTGAAAGTCAGTAATACATGCGTAATATCGAAAGGGGCCCAAACATTTTGTAAATGCAGTTTTACTTGTGGTAGTGACTAGGCGGTCAGGAAAAATGAAGTCAAATGATCTAAGAGGTGAAATTTCCCTCAATTAACTCCGAGCAAAAAACAGTTTTGTCTATACCATGATGTCATGAAACGTGGCCTCTGGCCCTTGGGACCCAGTTCACTTGATATATCACAGAAAGAGCTTCGCTTCAACACCAGTTTGAATGGCGGAGAAAAAGCGTTGAGCGCACATGTCACTCATATTTCCAAACGTATTTGGACACACGTCAATATTCGTCGGCATGGCAACTTCGAGAACGTGCACACAGGCCATGCTCACAGTCTTTGAAGTCAATAACGTCAAGTCGCTCACTGTATGGTCTTTTGTTATTTTTTTAGTTTTTTTGCCATGTGTTGTTTTTGTTTTTGTTTTCTTGTATATTTTTGTGTTAGTGGGTTCGCGTCAGCGCCAAGAGAGACTGAACTTTCCAAATTCATTTTCCAATTGAACAGGTGGAATTTACAACCAGCTTAATTTTAAGGAGGCATCGAATGTCAGTGAATGAACTTTCGATGGAAATTTTAGAAAACCGGACATTTTATGTGTCGGATCCCCAATTGAAAAAAACTCACGTTTTGCGTGTGCTAACTCCATAACCAGGAAAAATAGTTTTTTCTGAAAATTCATGTAAATTAGTGTTTATAGATGGAACTCGTCCGTCAAGCAGACGTTTGGAGAATAAGAGAACGTTGATCAATTTCAGTTGAGACTCTTGGTCCGTGAAAAGTGTCGTGCATTATGCCATTTTTTTTTCTTGTTGTTTTGACACGCTATCAAGGGAAAATGACAGAGGGAACTAGAAAATAATGCAATGAGATTAAAAAAAACGCATGTTTGAAATGTGTCAACGTTAAAGAACTAGATAAGTCTGCGTGGTTAAAGAAGGCAAAATCATGTACGAACAGGGTGCCTATTCGAAATTATTTTTTTTTCGGTGATAAAGTGGTGTTTAGAACTTTCACCGACTCATAGAATAATTTTTTAAAGTCATCGCTTTCGTTTTTTTATTCAACACTTTAACTCAAGATCAAAACGAAATATGCAAATGTGTTAGGCGTATGCAATTTACTTAGAACATGTGAAAAGTTAAAAAATAATTAATATGCAAATTATATCAAACTGATGTTATTTAATTCAAACAGGTTGGGATATCTTTCTCCGTTTTGTCTATTCCAAATGGAATCAAAATATCATTAAGTCACGCTTATTCTCACAAATAATCTAACGGGCTTGAACTGTTCTCAAGAAACCAAAGTTAGAAATGTCTTTCTAGTTACGAAACCTGAACAAGAGCATCTCGTAAACTGACAAAAGCTGAGTTTGGACGGGACGGCTGTTAGGTGTATTTCATCTATCCCTTACGGCTTAACTTGAAAAGATTACTTGTTTTTCTCCTGTTTGATCATCCTTAACTGTGATACATTGCAAAGCTGCAGTTTGCTTGCAGTACTGGTTAAGGGAACTGCTAGGCTCTCAGATTTGAGCGCGTGTGTACGGTACTTTGCGGTTGGCTGGATTCAGATACGGAATTGCGTTGAAAACCGCTCTCGGTCAGCTGTGAAACAGAACAGAAAACATCAGCAATGGAAAACTTAACATTTGTTCTGAGCAATTCAACAAACGAAAGTTTAATTTCTTCATGTAAAGCGTCTTGCGCAGAACTTGGGTTTACCGAGAAAGTTTCCGGCGGTGTTTTCTATGGGACTGTGTCTGTACTCGGATCGATTGGTAATTTTCTTGTCATTCTGGTAATTTGCCGGACACCAGGCTTAAGAAACATCTATGGTATTCAGATTGCAAACCTCGCTGTAGCTGATTTCATCGCGTCATCCACTGGAATTTCTCTGTTTAATTATGCCATAACCCAGCGTTCATTCTACAATTTTCATCTCGCTCCGCTCAGCATACACATTGGTGCGGCAATTTTTCACATGTCCATCGATGCTTCACTTATAGCTCTAGCTTGTCTGAGTTTTGATCGTTTTTTCGCTGTTTACTACCCCTTAAAACATAAATTCTTTATGACTTTTAGAAAACTAAAAGTTATGATTGTTGTAGTGTGGTTGGTTTCCGTTACAATTATAGTTTTACTTTTTTCCAAGCGCTCAATTTGGCACGCGAAGTTTCTTTATGTAGAATCTTCTATTCATAAACTGTGTGTGGTCGTGATCATCGGCACTGGAATTGCCGCCATAGTCAAGGTGTTTAAGAGTTCTTCGAGTGTATCAGACATAAACCAAAGTCATAATGGTGGCCAAAATTCTGTACTGCACCAGAGAAACAAGCAAGTTGCGAAAACCGTTTGTTTTGTCGTCCTGTTGTTCGCGTTTTGTTGGACTCCTTCAGTTCTAGCAAGGCTTAAAAATCCCCTTTTGGATTCTGCTTCGCTCTCTTCGTTAGACTTTTGGCTGACCGCACTCAGATTCGCAAATTCTGCCATGAATCCTTGCATTTACTTTTATCGCCATCGCAATTATCGCGAGGCATTGAAAAGAACTCTAGGTTGTTAAAAGGCAGAAGTTAGAGATACTTTGTGAAATCTCTAAAACACTGGTCTGAATATTACCAGACTGGTACGTTTTTATAATGTAATTTTCACTGATTTCAAGCAGGGGCGTTTGAGCGATTTTGCCGGCAGAGCTAGGCGTTTTAGTGAACACATTGTATAAACGTTTTGCATGAATGCAGTTGTGCATTTTGAATACGGCCGGACTCATTGCATACAACTCTTATGAAAAATAAAGTAGCTCTGTAATTTCCATTGATGTATGTGATGTTTATGCGACGAACATGTGTCCCCTAGAAATGAAAATATTTTCATCATGATTCGGAAACAATTTGATCTTCATATAGTTAAAGTTTCTGTTTTTATCAGGCAGGTGAAGATACACGATGTGTATTCAATTTTTTGCCCAGTTACCGTGGTTATGCTTCATACCTTTGACAGTTCTTCAAGTAATTGACGGATAGTGTCTAATAATCTTCTCACATTAACAATCCATAGCGAAATGATCGATCCTCACCTAATTTGTAATCATTGATAAAGTTCAGTATCAATAACGTTTGGAACGAGGACTCGCTTTCACAAGCTTCTCTTTACATAACGAGCTATCCGTGTGACGAAATTCTTTTCATAGATTTTATAATAAGCCGCCGTTCAGACGAAATTGCCCGCGTTGAAAGTTAATTTGAACTCCGGCTTTGACGAATAAATCACCAATATGATGAAATCCCCGTTCTTGAAAAGCTCCCCCCCACAAAGAAATTTGGAGGACTCCTGCCACTTCCTGCAATAAACCCCCTTTAATAACAATTCCCCGTAACAAATAACTCGCTATTATGAAATCCCTTTTTTTTTGGCTTTCGATCGAAGTACAAAAGAAATTGTGCAAGAGGAAAATAACATTATCCTGGAAATTGCTTAGTAATAGCTAATCAAATTTCGAGATATCTGTTTTCTATTCAAATGGAAAATGTTATTATGTTTATAGGGGCTGGATCCTAACCTTAAGTCAATATCATGCGGTCTCAGCTATTACTCGCCAACAAACGTTCAGTTCTATCCACCCGAGAGTTATTTATCCGGTGGATAGCGTCATTCACCTTCAAACAGCTGTGGCCTGACTTAGACCTCAGTAACCAAGGTAACCTACCTTGTCACATAAGCAGATCAGAATTTTCACGAGGAAAAATCTTGAGTTGAGTTTGGGAGCCTGGACACAGGCCGACTGGGCTGATAAACTAATCAGATTCATATATGGAGAGGCTGAGTACCAGCAGAAAATCCATTTGTCACACGTTTCTCCCACATGCAGAGGCTATTTGGAGGCACTAGAAAAAGAGACCGTCTGAATTAAAAGGCATTTATCTGACACTAATTGAGATGATTCATGAATTAAGATAAACGTTTTCGGAATTAGCTAAGTAACTTCAAGGTGTTATTTCAATTTCCGGCGCTAGTTAGCGATTTTTTTGCTCGAAGTTCATGACCTGAAATCCCAGAACAAAGACATTAAAATTTATTCAACAATAGGGCTGTCGTGTACTCCAATCGTTCGATCAAAATGTCTTCATTAATGTCACTGTTAACAGAAGAAACTTCATATTCCTTTGATCAAAAAATCCCATCTGTTGTTGTTCTTTTTTCATTCTTACCACTTCTTTGACAAATCTTTGTCCACGGTAATAAATGAAGGCTTTAATAATTATGTTACTCTATTCAAAGCTTTTTTAATTTTCCATACCACCTTTCACCTTGACTACAAATTATTTGTCATTTTGAGGTTCTTTTATTTAATGCCCATGAGTATATTGATCATAATTTTCTTTTAACGTCTACGACTCCTTAAAAGAGCTTACTCATGCACTTCGCATGATCGTTTTTCACAACAGCGTAAAACATTTTGTTTTCAATACGCGTAGGCCGGATTTTTAACGATCGAAAAATATCAGTTTCATAGAAAAATAACAGTCACTTTATTTCAGAAATGGAAGGTGCGGTTCAGATTTTTCTTTACACCAGCTTTTTAATTGCAGCAATTAATGGAAATGTTTTGTTGTTCTTCTCACTTTTCCGCTACAAAGTTCTCCGAACAGTTCATGACGCCCTCATCGCCGATCTTGCTGTGGTCGATTTTCTAAACTGCGTCGTCAACATTCCTCTGTCCATCCACTTCGTAGTCCTTAAAAGATTTCATGTTAAATCGTTTGTGTGGGCTCTCTCGTTTCTCCATAGTTTCTTCATCCTGAATTCTCTATCCACCCTGATGTTACAAATGGTGGATAGGTACCTTGCCATATCTTTCCCCGTTACATACAAAGCGAAAAAGTCCTGGACGAAAATCATAGCGGTTATTTCTTTCAAGTGGTTTGCTATCTTGACAATCACTTTGTCTGTTTACGTCCCAGTCTACCACGTCGATATTGGGAAATCAACGGCTTTTCACTACAGAAAAGTTTATGCAAGGGAAACCGAGGAAGCCCTACCGAAATACGTTGTTCCTTTTTTCGTAGTAATAATTCTCATTTTTGGAGCATTATCACTTAGAAATCTCAAAAGGCTTAAACACCCGCGACAAGTCCGGCACACATCGCGAGTCCCAACGCAAGAGCACTCTCCAAGCTCAAAGGCTCGCAAAAAATCATTGTATACAATTTTACTCCTTCTGTCCATCACTGCAACCGCTTATTTACTCGCGGCGATCAAGGTTACCGTTTGGTTTGGACTAAGTGAGGCTCAAATGAGACAGTGGTTAACTTTAGTGATTGCGTTTTTGTTGTTCGTCCTGTTCCGGGTAAAGAAATTTACCGACAAACTGAAAACACTTATGAATAGTGTCAAAGGAATTTGCTCTCGCAGTAATCAGGTAGAGGATGAAAATGTTGCTTCCCAAAATGTTCATGATGTTATTCAGCAACTCTTTCATCTTAGTAACCAAAGCCTTGCAGAGGCGCAGCGTGGGGGACTGGGGATAAGGGAGGGGTATCGTGGATGTGCTCATTCTTAGTGGAAAATGTTGAAAATACTAAAAAAAAAAAAAATTGGCATGCACTGAGGTAATAGTCTAATACCGTGGCGCTCCCTTTTCTTCCCGACTGCCACCTTTCTCCTCTCCACTCGGTTTAGTTTGCAGTAACACGGCGTGAGTGATTCGGCTCAATTTCCGAAGTTTTTTGCGGATGCCCACGGCCACCCATCGATCTTCATGGGAAGGAACCGTCTGTTCAGAGAAGGAGCACGGGCTCACTTCCTGAACAGCGGCTGGTAGTCGAGCGTTCGTGACTACCGTATTACCTCGAATGAACGTCCAGCCTTTAAGGAGCGCCCTCCCCCGAATAAGCGCCCATACCCAGGCCATATTTTCAAACAAGCTCCCCCTTCGACTAACCACCCTCTTCTCCCTCACTTTCTAAAGTAATAGGGATACAAGAAAAACCTTTTTTCCATTGCCACTTTATTTGTTTTTAACTTTTAAAGCCTCAACTTCAGGGGTGTGACTGGTAAAAAAAAAAATAATAGAGGGCCGATGCCTCGAAAACCACTCGTCACCTCGGACTGAAAGTCTGGGATAGGCTATCAAGAAATGGTGGTGACGAGAAACGAAAGGCTCAATGAGCATGGCTGAAAGAATTTGTTTCTTCATTTCGAACCAAACCAGCACACATTTTTTTTATGAGGAACAACTTCACCGCTGTAACAAACTGTCTCAGGAGCCCCTGATTTTTGCAAAGTACGAAAAATTATTTACTTACGTTAAAATTTGTTGCTTTAAAGTGGAATGGTGTATTTAATGAGGGAAAAAATCGAAACATATATTGGCTATTTTGAAACTGGAATTTTGTGCGCGCCGCCATATTGGATCAGGTGACGCTTTGTAGTTGATTTCTAGACGAAAGAGCTTTTGTTTGGTGAATATATATAGTGGTACCTGTACGATGTCATACGATCCAAAATGGCGCCTATCAGGAAATTGCTTCTACTTGTCTCTAGTTTTAATTCATTTTGGTTCTTGTTTCCCTTTTGTTCTAAGGAATCTCCACAAGAAAAGATATCTTCGTCAGTTCAAAGGCAGTAAGGTCTCCTTTAAAGTTTGTATGACTGTAGACATTCTTCATTATCAACTAACGATGGCTGCTGTACACTGTAGGCCTCAGCCCCCAAGGATTTTTGCGATAGATTCCCAACGTTGTGTAGATATCTGGCTTGTAGGTCATTCGTGCAGTGATCCCTTCTTTTCGGAGGTTTTCCTCGACTTTTCTCACGTGTTCCTCATTGGTAAAATCCTCAGTGTACACGCAGATCACATGTGCGTTTTCCTCAGGGTCATGTGTGCTGACCTTTGCGGAATAACCAAGCTTACCAGCGACGACTGCTTTTGCGACGCGCTTCCATACGTTATCAATCGCTGGCCTATCATAAATTGATGGAAAAAGAACCGTTTGAAAAAGTCATGCTACAAGGCTCTTTTAAGGTAGCACTGAAATATAACGGGGTAATTAGGTATTATCAACTGAGTTGATAGCATAAGTTGAACACTGTAAAGAGTTTAAAAGCAGTTGTTTCGAGCGTTAGCCCTTCATAAGAGCGATTGAAGGAATTGTGGGGTTTGTGTCACTGGACGAATGACCTACAAGCCAGATATCTACATAACGTTAGAGATCTATCGCAACAATCCTTGGAGGCCGAGGCCTACAGTGAACAGCAGCCATCGTTAGTTGATAAAAAATGGATTTTCCATCACAGTAAACAAACACACCACCCACAATTCCTCCAATCGCTCTGACGAAGGGTTAACGTTCGAAACGACAGCGTTTGAACTCTTTACGGTGGCCAATTTACGTTATCAACTCAGTTCATTATTGATAATATTGAATTACCCCGTTATAGTCTCTTTAGAAACTTACCCCCTTTACTGATATATGAAGGGTCCATTTACTAAGGTCACGTTTCGTTCTATTCAAGGTTGATCCCTTACTGTTTACATAAAATATTACAGGTACTCATATTGGCAGAATCACAGGGCTATCAATGAGAGCCAGTAACCAGCCAAATCCGTTGACTAGTTGGATCATGAGTATTTAGGGTATCTATCACCTGTCGGTCAAGAATTGGTCGATACTTTCGGTTTACATGTCGGTTGAACAAAGTGGCGACCGACAGTCGGCCGACTATCGGTCGATATGTCCATTGATTATCGACCAACTCTAGGTCGACATGTCAACCGATAGTATTCGTTGATACTCGGCTGACAGATGCCTTAATATATTTACCTCCTTTCAAATAGGTGCTGGTGAAAAATCAATCGATAATTATCACACGATCGAAAAATTTGAATTGCCAACATTTCCCAGTTTGGAGTGGAAACGAAAGATTAAATTACCACTGACAGGTTTAGATGTAAAGATCGATTCGACATTCCTTGTTGTAAACCCGAGACATTTTGATTGAAAAGTTCCCAGCCTTTAACTTGGCCGCCTACTAATTGTTATTTCCTTCCTTTTCTCAAACTCATTGAAAGGCCTGCTAGGAGAAACTAAGCTTCATTCATTGGCTTAAATACTTGTAGTTACTACTACTACTGGTTATAGACAGTTTACTTGGTGGACTTATAACAGACTTGGTAAAGGGAACAGACGTGTGATTCCTTCGTGTGATGTGGCATCAATAAGACGTAATTACCCAGATGCAGCCGGAAATTATACAGGCTTCAAAGATGCCGAGGACAATGACTCATGGCCGGGACAGTCACGTTTAATCAATAAACTTGTGTTTGTTTTTATTAAACATTCAAGGAGGTCCATGGCGCTATAGGGGTATCGGCTCCAGTTCCAATCATTAAAATACCTTTAACAGTCTGTTCCAAAAATAGAAAACTAACAATGTAAATTCTAGTGGCATTTTAGGCGGACTATTCGATTTTTGTATTTCTATTTTTTTCACTTGCTCAATTTTTTTACAAATCTGGATACATGCCGTGCGAGAAGGTCCTCTTTAGGTGGGCGTGGAATGGGTGCGATGTTTTTTGAGAGATCAGGGACTTGAACTTGCTCTGGCTCTTCTCCTGTGTCTCTCATCTCCAACACTGAGCATAGCATTTCCGTAACGTGCGGCTTGGTCTTCTCTTCGAAAACAGGCCTTACAACCCAATCCTTCATCCCCTTGGGATAAACATAACGGAATCGTTTCTCCCCACTCGAAGCCTCTGCTTGAGATCGACCAATGCCCGAATTGTGGTCTAAAGCAGTTAGCTGTGTACGTTCTACCATTCCCAGGAATCCAAAATGTTGCCGCTTGGGCGCGTATTTGTTGTAGAGTGAATGGTACACTTCCAAGGCCCCTGTATGGATGGTCTTCGTTAGAAGGTCCAAATCCTTTAAGAGTTTCTTCTCTAGCACTACATGTTTTAACGCTTCGTGTGCCGGGGAACCTACGATTAGCCATTTCGTTTTACGATGTGCCCTTGGGGAAATAGGTTCGTGTGCACAACGATTGTACAGCACAGTCGAATCCCAATCGTGTTTGTCAGCCGTGTGGTGGAGGATGCTGACCCACTTCTCTTTAAGGAGCTGGTGATTTCCGTCACATGTCATCGCTGACCACCACATATGGTTTGTCACGGATTTTATCCAAGGAGAGAGGTCCTTGCATTCTTTCTCGTTGGCTTTCGTGACTAGCTTGGACTTGATGTTCTTAGTCAAGTGCCACACGTCTACCTGGTGCTCAACACCGAGGTCCTTGTATTCGCTTCTCATGAGTGCTTTGATACCGCTGTGCCTGTCAGTACCTACAACTCCTACAGGAATGCCACTATTTAGTGCGCGGTCAAGACAAAGCTTAAAACCAAGTTTATTCATTTCCTGTGAACTTGTACTCTGCTTTACATGGCAAACTTCGAAATCGACAATTTTCTCACTCTCTTTGTCCATCATGGTGTAAGTTCCGTATTTGGCACTATAGCCTGGGGAGTCACAACGTCCATCCCCGAGGAGAGTGACTGAGTTCCTGTCTAAGAGATCGGCGAGGACTGCCGCCTTTTCCTGCTGCCAACGATCATTTATAACAGGGAAAAGGTGCTTCTTCAGTCAGTTGCGATAATCCGATTTGCTCAGAAAGGCAGGATTTATTGCGGAGGCAACTTCTGAAACACGCGAAAACGTATTTCCTGTAAAAAGTACAGCACCTGAAAGCAATACGTTCACGCGGCCGCCCTGTTAACAAGTGGCTGGGAAACCAAAAAAAAGTGTCGTTACTTTAAGTGCACTTCCCTTTTTCGATAGCTCCTTTTCCAGAACCTCGTCACCGCATTTAACACAGCGGCCAAATAACTTAAGCAGTTCTTCCTCAAATACTATGTACTTGGGAGACGAACACATTTTCTCATAAATGGTATCGTGACTGTTACTAACGGGCGGATCAGTCTCCAAATCGCTTTAGGTGGTGTCCTGGTCCACTTCTTCAAAGCTGATGTTAAACGAACTGTCTTCCCCAGCCTCTTTATCGCAGCTGACTTGAATGGAAGTGTTGTTGATATCGTCATCATCAAAGCTGACATGAAGGGAATTGTCGTTCACATCGTTATCTATTGTTACGTCAGTATCTTCTTCCAGGTTAATCGAGAGTTCCAGAAGCCG